AATCATTGGAAATTTCTGGCAATTTGAATGCAATTTTAATTTTTTAAAAATTAACAGCGTTGAAAATTATCCTCTGGCCTTACATATAACAAATAATTGTCATAACAATAAATATAATACATATAAATGAGCCTTATTTAATAAGAGTTTATAAATTTCTAAAGAAATGTACTTATTTCAAAAAATCGATTCATTTATTATTTTTTCATAGCTAGAAAGTTGAATAATATTATAATATAATATATTATAAAATAATATGTACTTGGTAAAAACATTACAGCGAATTGTTACAAAAATGATTTCCTTTACAAAAATGTAATAATGGCCAATTAATATTGGCTAATTTATTACTAAATTTACTATTAAACAGTAATTAATTACTTATTTGAAGTACTAAAAGTACTGAACAACAGTGCTTTTAATATTTAAAATAAGTAATTAATTACTGTCTTTCAGTATTGGCCAGTATTAGATTTCTGGATCATACACACATTTTGTCACAAATTTTCATTGCATTAAACAAACGTATTGATGCCGATTCTAATTCCCTTTTAATCTACTTCCTATGACATATCTTTTAAATATGTACTTTATAAGTGTACTTTGTAAAGCGCGGTTTTAAGTAATAAGATTAAAAGTGAGCCTTATTTAATGCTGGGCTTTATTCAGCTTAGGTTCAATTGCACCAACGTTACTTTGACTTTAAGCGAGACTTAAAACTCTCATTTTCTTTCTTTAAAGCTAAGAGAGAGGGAGAGTTTTAAGCTTCGCAAGTCAAAGTAATGTTGGTGCAATCGGGTTTTAGATACTTCATCTTTTTATAGAAAGATACAAGATTATTTTATATATGAATAATATATAATAAATAATAAAATAAATTATTTTATTATTTGTTATTTTTATATAGGGTTATTTATATAGGGTAACCTATTATTAATAATAGGTTATTTTAATATTTAAATTTCAATAATGATAGTGAAAACGAGTATAAACGTTGATGTAAAATATTATGCGAGAGTAATCATTATGCTGCTTATACAAATCGCGCTGTTCTTAAATATCAAATGTAAATATCTAATCAGTTATAACTTCACTGATAAAGATGAATATTCCCTCGTTATTCACATATTAGAAAGTTCCTGTTTATACGCAACGTGTTTATGCATTGTACCCAGCGTACATCGTTCAAGAAGCTTCCGGAAGAGGAGACGCTTGAACCGGAAGCCACTTCAATTGGATGTCCCTCGTATTTCCTTTTACACGCGCACGAGATACTTTTCATACTGTACATGGAAACTTGAATGCCATGTTTTCTCAGTGGCCTGAGTGAAAGGTCCCGCGATCGGATACGTTCCACACCGTTTGGATCCATACGTATCCACTCCCGATGTATCCTCAATTAATGACAATTACTTTTCAAGAGTACGCTTTTCTCCATTTAGATTACATTATATGATACAAAGTTATTCACAAAATATTATTTATTTTTTATTAGTATATAAAGCTATTGAATGATTACTCATATAAAAAAATTATCTATTTTTTTTTTAAAGAATAAATAACCTTTTATTTATAGAGAGAAACTGGAAATAATTAAATGCTAAGAGCTTTCTTTCAATAAAGACAATAGCCTTTATTTATAAATTTGATAGGTGACAATATTATTGTTTATGAGGATTGTCTTATCTAAGATATATTCTTCAATATTACAGTGTTCGTTTTTAAGTTATGAATTTTTCATTAGCATGGTACTTCATAAATTTTGTATAAATTCTTGATTCATGCAGGGCATCGATTCCGGAGAGAAACCTAGCAATTAGAATATGCTGAGAAGGATATGCGGAATGGATAACATGGTCCAGATGTAAAACACGTAGAGGAGAAGCGTGAAAGAAGATATGAAAAAGAGAAAGAAAGTAAAGAGAAAGAGAGAGAGAAAGAGAGAGGGGGGGGGGGCAAGAGTCACTCTGTTAGTGGGTGAGCACTCGTACGGTTCTACTTTCGTGCAGCCTCTGTTGTTTTACGATCTTGCGCTTCAGAATTCTTTCATCGTAACCACTGAACAGATCGATCTGAGAGAAAGATAAAAGAATATTCAAATTGTGACATACGAGTTATCTTTCTCTTTCTGTGAAAGCATGCATTAAACAAAAGTAGGTTAAATAAAATATTACGATGATATACAGAAAATTTGATGACAATATTTCACAATCATCAGTCACTGAATTACCAATTTTACAAAATAATTATAATATTTATCATGCGTTAATTAATTTCATATTTATCATGTGTTAATTAATTTATGTATAATTAATTTGTTTTTTTATATGTCGTAATTGATTTCATCATGTCATTATCACAATTTGCATGCTTTGTCTGTATTTTATAAGAATTATTATTTTCTGTATTTTTCATACATTTCATATATTTATTAATTAATATATAGTGCCAATTTAATTTTGAATAAATACTTTTTACTTGGATAAGTATTTTTCTAAAAGTGAAAGTCTCTCTCTTTTCTTTTCTGCATGATTTTTAAATATAGTGTGAACAAAATTTATTTATTAAATATATACATTAAATTAAAAAAATTTCTTTTCTATTAAATTTCTTTTCTATTAAGAAAAATTAGAACATTTAATGTATATTAACTTGAAAAAAGGAGAAAATAATTGATTTTTTGCACTAATTTAAGGTAGGAGAGAGCATGTATACAATATCGCGTTATCATAAAAATTAAGGAAAAAGTTTCATTTTCACAGTAAATGTTTGAATAAGTAACCTGTGATATTGTTGAATTATTATATCTACAAACCGATGCTGTATAAAATGTGTTAATTAAACAGAAAAATTATATCGCTTTCTAGGCTTAATTTCGCTTCCTGCACCTTCTATTTCAATTAGAAACGTAGAGAAGAGTGTTTGATGAACATATAGGAGCGTGAGATGCGAATATAATATAGATTTCATATTTATCTTTATGAGAGAAGACGAATGGAGAGCGTAATTAACGCAAAGTGCGATTCTTTTTTTCTTCATTGCGCACGGTTACTATCTCACTAGTGAAATTTCATTGCGATCGTTGAAATAGATAGTCGGAGGATTCACGATGCAACGGACACGCTGGCAACAGCCTGATTACGTCAGGCGTAGCAATTTCATTAAATCTGCATACTCCTCTGTGCTCGAGTAATCTACGTGCCCGAAGCGATACATTAAATCGAGTACCTGGAGAAATTTCGAAATAAATCCAATCAAACGTCAAAGGATTCATTGCGGAAATGGGAATGAGATTGATGGTAAATCTTTGAAATCGTCTAAACACGAAGTCTCAACTTGAGTAAAAAACTTTTCCATTTACTGTTAAATTCACAGTTTAATTGAGTATTCAATCTTTTCTAGTCAAGCAAACGGATATGTTAATAACTAAGTTAAGTATGCTCCTGATTAATATATGTAACTAATCATTCAAATAATCATATTTCTAGAGAAAATAATTAATTTTATTACTAAAAACTTAATAACTATTCACTTTTATAATTTTATATTATTTTTTATTATGCTTTTAATGTTACATTTATGTATATTATTGTCTACAATAAAATAAAATTTCAATCTTTCCTAATCACGTAAGTGGATGTGTCAATAACAAAGTTAAGTATGTTCCTGATGAACATAACTAATCGTTTAAATAATCATAAATAATCATTTCTAAAGAATAATTCATCTCATTATTAAAAATGTAATATCTGTTTATCTTTATATTTCATACGTTTTTAGTGTTATTTATCCTTTATTGTTTATAATAATTCCGAAATTCTTGCGTATACAACGTCCTTTTAAAATCGACTTCTTACAAGAATGCAACCTCACGACTTTTCCATGGACAAAATTTTTATGGCAATAAAATGTAAGAATAATGAAGCAATTACTTTCGCTACACAGCGTTCTGCGGTTTGTACAATTCATTTGTAAGTACTGTTTCAGCGATAATTGCAGGCGCATTTAAATTTTTGTTCGCGCACTTATAGGATTTTATCGCCATGGACTGCTGCGCTTTTAAAATGAGTAAGGAAACTGATCTTATCACCGAGCGATTTTTGAACCGAGATACGCAAATTAATGTACTGTGAGATGCCAAGAATAATTTCCATTCGAGAATGTTATTCAGTTGTGTCGTGAGTAATTAGAATGCAAAGAATTTCGTAAATTTTGTTTTTTAACACATTTTGTTTTTTCTATACACAGAAAGAACGATTTTGCTGAAGTATTTAAAAATTTAGCTAGGTGTGTACGGATTTGAAAATAATTTTGGTGGACCACCAAAATAATTACTAGAAATCTCCAGCATAATGAGCAATGTTGCAAAAAATTTTTTTGCAACACGTTCTAGTAATCAGTTTGAGCGTTCTACATAATTATTTTAATAGTCCAATAAAATTATTTTCAGATCTGTTTCTAGCTAAATTTTTAGATACTTTAGCAAAATCATTCTTTCCGTGTATAAACATTTTATTATTTTTATTTCGGAAATTTAAGGAAAAGTCTACGCGGTATAGATTAATGACACATTATTATACCGATTGGAAAACAATAAAGCGGAATCGACGTAAGATTAAACGCGTGAAAAATCGCATTTACAACACCGCTTTTAGTCAAACATTAATCCATGACACTTGCGACGAATTTCGCGTCGTTATACTTCCATTACGCAAATATTTTGCCGGACGATCGAAGAAAGTTTTTTGACGTGAGAGAAAGTTGGAGTTAATTAAGGAAAATGGAAGTAATTCTGACGAAAATTATCGCTCGATATTTTTATATATTTAAATAAAGTGAAATTAGAGAACGAAGAAATTATAAAATTCAAAAACTTTGATCGGATCATTTACGTATTTGTGTGTGTGGATCATGTGCTATAATATTAAATGTATTTTCATAATTTAATATTTTTATGTGATAGTAAAATATACAAGAAGAATTATTACTTCCTTACTCACTTGTTGAAGATGGGGCAAGTCAGCACCATTTAAAATTGCAGGATCGGCCTCAGCTGCCACAAGGATGTCTCCCCGCAGTATCAATGCGGTCCACAGTAAGCACAAGAAGTATCTCTGCTTCATCACGGAAGGATGAACTCTGTTTCCGGCTCTAAATCGACGTCCACACTATGATGAAGCACCTGTTGTATTCTTCTAAATTTCACCACCGGTACATTAGAAAATCCTCTTCTTGCCTGTATTAATTTACAGTTACTCTCTTGGCAGCTTTTCTTAGTCGACGATCCTTATAAATAAAGATGACTCTGCCTTCCCCTTAAAAAAATCTCTCTCGTGAGATCAGACGCGAGGTATCCCTATTGTTTTAGACGTTTGTTCTTTGCTTCTTCGATCTTATCGGTGTTCTGGCTTAATCACGCGGACAAGTGTTTCTCGCGTCCAGGGGATATCAGACATTGAATTCACCGTAGCGTCTTCCTTTCTTTCTTTCTTCCTGTGTCTAGGAAGAGACAAGATCAGGAAGTAGCTGAGCTGAGCTATGCCAGCTACCAGTTGCAGGACCTAACGAGTTCGCACGTCGACGGGGACAAGTTCGGGACTGTTGGAGATCGGAAAACGTCTGAGAGTTTTACTTCTCTGCGATGCGGGAAGAGTTCTCGCGGTCCGTCAAGTGGGAGACAGCCACCAGGTAGGCTGGTGAACGTCAACAAAGAAGGAACCCACTTCTTCTCTCGGTATTTTCTTATGACGGGATAGGGTGACGAACTGTATTATTGGCAATGTCCATGTCATCGTTAATTAAAATTTAAGTACATGCTTTTTACAATATAAAAATTATATATTATTTTATTAAATTTGAATGGAATCTTTTGCTTGTTTATTGTTGTAATTAAAAATAAAAGCCCTAATTAAATTAAAATTATTAGAAAAGAACTTAAAATTAAATTTGTTTTTCTGATGTTCATTTTTATTAACAGAATGAATAAAAAATAGTATATAATCAAAATTTAAGTAGTAAATCTAAACATTAAAACGTTTTTCTTATAATGTGTGTGTGTGTGTGTGTATGTGTGTAATAAGTAAAAAAATAAAATAATAAAAAAACGATTAACTTTTATGATATAATTACGATATCAGTAATACATTCACTTTTTTGTGCTTTTCCTAGTAGTATCAATAGTATTATGGATATCAATTATTAAATAAACATAACGATGGCATCTTAACGAAATGTTAATACAATTTCTTCGTTTCTGTATTTGTTACCTATTATACTGTACTCTACTTGTTTAGAATTTTTAGTATTCTTGGAGATTTACACTGCTTTTTCTATGTAGTTTCCTTAACATGTCTATAGTATAGTATATTGTCGAATCTTATCTTGCAACTTGTATTCTTTTTTGTTTAAAAAAAAAGAATAAAAAAGAGATTTTTAAATTTCTTTCGGATACTTCCAACACATCAGTGAAGCAAATAATTTATTCCTACTAAGAATACGTTTTGGATTTGCTCTGTTTTTAACTTTCCTAGATTTTTTTTCGAAAAATTCCCTCAATAATTAAAATTTTTTTTAGAATGTATTATACATTGTTTAAATTTGATATAAACTTTCAAAAGTTCTCTCTCTCTTCCTCGTTCTCAATAAACATTTGTAAAAAGCAATTGTTTTAAGCGAAACCATTAAATCTTGATCGGGGAGATATAAAAAAACCCCTTTCGTTCCTCTTCCTTATAACGAATGAAAAATCGGAAAAGGAACGTTACGCGAGTGATTCCATTCATCCATTAGCTATTACTTAACGATGATCGAAATCGAACGGACGCTTGAATGGACATCGATCCATTTCGTTTCCGTTCAAACATCGGCGTTCCGGAGAACGAGTAAATGCGCGACGTACCATTTTACTGTTGCCTTTTTCATACGCCGCTTCCGATAACACGTCACTGTTTTCTTCGTAGCTCAACGACGCGCGTTCGCGGAAATGTTGCTCGTTAAGTTTTCGCACGCCCGTTTTCTTACATTATGCAATTTCTAATAAAATTATTATATAAATCAACTTATAAATTGTATCTACGTTTTCTATTTTTTGTGTTCTTGTTACCAACTTATATTTCGTTGCAAATTTTTTAAGATTTTTTTCGTAATTCTTCGCGTGAATATACTATCATGATGAACCAATTAACGTGAGAGGAATACCGATGACTCTTATTGGATCATAAGTATGGAGAACCTTACGAAAGTCCTATCATTACAAGCCAAAAAAAAATAAATCTTAGGATCATAGTTGGGGCACGGAGGCGTGTGAAGCAACCGAATCGTGCTCGAGAGCAACGGGAAGAAATCAGTTCGTGCAACGACTGCGATGACTAATGACATATATACGTAATGCAACGACGTTATTAGAGAATCAAGACCATACATACCGCGATATTTGTTCAATCGATGTTTCGTCATGGTCCAGTACTTTCTGATCGAGTAGCATAAAACTTTCGGGTTCGCCCCAGGCGACGAAAACTCGACCGTCCAGCGAATCTTCCTTTCTCCATTCTGGATTGTACGACGGCAAGATTCACATTTTTGATCGAGCGCTCGTTTCAAACAAGGATGTACAATATGGGTGTACTAAAGTATCTAAAAATATATAATGTAATATGTGATATTATTATAGTTCTGTTAAAATTGTGTTTCAAGACTGAAAATTAAATTCGGCGCGCAGGATTGATTATGCATATAAGTTCACACCGAATTATTTAAGTATTAAAGATCCTTGCCGTTTAAGGCCTTTATTTCCTATAGTTTTGTTAAAAATGTATTCTATATACAAATCTGAAAATAATTTTGTTGAATCAAAATAATTATGTAGAATATCAAAATAATATGTAGGATATTAAAATAATTATCTAGGATATCAAAATAATTATATAGGATATTCAAACTGAAATTTTTTGCCTCATCATGCTTAAATTTCTTACATTTATTTTAATGTAAGAAATTATTTTACAATATTTCTTACAAAATTAATTTTACGATATTTCAACAAAATTATTTTCAGATATGTGCCTAGTTAAATTTTTAGATAATTTAACAAAATTTATACATCTTTCAAATTAATTAAAATTTTGGATTATACATTCCTAAAAAATATTAAAATCAAGTTTGTTAATGAACGATGTGGATCTGATATATAATTAACTTTGAAATTATAACTCGCAATTTTTAATTTTAAGTTATACATGATTCTGTATTTTAGCAAAAACATTGCAATTTCAATGTGATGCTTAAATATCAATATTTTTGAAATATCGATTTGATATTCAAAACGGACTCTTATAATTTTCGATAGCACTACACAAAAAAATATAATTCAGATTTAGTTAAATTTTTAAATATTTTTACCAAAATATCTAAAAATTTTGCTAGATATGAAAATGATTTTGTTAAACTGTTAAAATTAATAATATCAGGATACTTAAAGTATTATAAATAAATATATATAAAATTAATCAATATAGAAGCCAACCCAGCATAGATTAAACGAGCAATATTAGTTAACAATGTGATATTATTTTATTCAATTATAATTTTCGATGGTACGTTTCGACTTTACTTGGTTCTCATCAGCCGTGAATTTACAAATAGCTCCTTATATTAAAATTATCTAAATTATTGCATAAAGAGTCGTATACAAGGCTGTGATAATCGTCTCACATTCGGATTAATTAAAAGACGGTATTGGACAACCATATTATATTTAGTCAACATTAGTCAATTATAAACGGTGTAAGTCGTGAGTCCAAACCAATTCTTCGGTTAATAGCGAGAAAGTCAGAGTGTAAAGCAGAGATTTCAGTCACAGAGTTATGGTAGCTTGATATCGTATATATAAGATAGAGTTTTGTATACCTCCATACTGTAGTAGATTAATGATAACAATCATGAGTCATTTGTATAAATTATGTAACATCCGTAAATTCACAGAAAGGTAATACGGTTAACTGTAGATTTGATATCTGATACTATTAATTGATACAAAGTTAGATCTTGCCTAGGAGAGAGTTTAAATTCAACTGTAAACTATAAAATTAATAACAGGCGATTGAGAGCAAAAAATTAAGACGCAGTTATTAGAGCGTTAATGTATAAAAATGTATTTCTAGACCTTACAAATAATACGATGAAATCGGCTCAGTTCGAGCCATCCTCAGCGATATCTAAATAATAAATAAACCATTAACAATTAATTTAAAATGATTAAATCCAAGAATGCAGCTAAGGGAGCCTCTTCAATTACAAACTTGAGAAGTATCATTGTCAATTAGTTGAATAGCTAAATGAGCACTAAAGAAATAACGTAATGAATTAGAATTCTTAAACAATGAAAAACAAGTATAGAAATAATCAAAGGACTCACTCGCTGCAAACTGTGAACAATATATCAAAAAATCAAGACAAGAATGGAACGAGACAAATCGTTAAGAGAACCGAATCGTACAAAATATAAACGTTGAAATGACAGTTATGGCATAAAATGAGGTTAAGCATTATAATATAACAAGCAGATTGTCCTTACAAAGTCAGAAAAAATCATAAATTAAAATGTACATAGAAAGTCAACTAATACAGTATAAAATGAAATGTCGTCGTGAATCAAATCTTATTTACAATGTTAAGATAAGCATGGTGTAAGAACTCAGTATCAGATTTTAAATCCAGACTATTTTCCTACGACTTGATGTGAAGCATTTCAGAAACAAGTCTTCTCCCAAGATATCTTTCTTTATCTGAGATGCTTACGTTCCCCCAATTGAAATCATGTCTACAATTCATCCTGTGTTCCGTAATGACAGACGAATTATCAGTTTTTTTTATTAATATTATTGTGGTGTTCAGCAATCCTCGTTTTAAGTCTTTGCCCCGTCTATCCTACGTATGAGGCGTTGCAATTCTTACAACATTTTGTATACAACATTCTTATTACACTCATGTGGAAGTACATCCTTTTGAGATTTGATAATCCCCTCAAGTTTATTCATACTAAATCAAGAAAGTTTAACATTTAAGTTTTTAATAATGTTCTTAAATTTACCATATAGGTGTGGAAAGAATGGAATTGTGAACCAAGTAACTTTGTCCTTATTCTTTGGTATATCGGAATCTGCCTGCTTAAGTGTCTTATGTTTAAACAAAGATTTCAACCGAGAATTTATCGTGTCGAAAATCATATTATTTGAAAGTCTAGAGAAATACATTTTTACATATTAACGCTCTAATAACTGCGTCTTAATTTTTTACTCTCAATCACCTGTTATTAATTTATATATTTATTTATTATCTCAACTTTATGTTAATTTATTTATTTTAAAGTATTATAGTTGCTAGAATGTCAAAATTTTTTTACAGCATTATGATCATCACGCTCGAGAATCCTATAACTATTTTAATGGTACAACAGAATTATTTTTAGATCTATATCTAGATAAATCTTTAAATACTTTAGCAAAACCATTCTTTCCATGCAGCATCATGAAAATAAAGTATCAACACACACACACGCACGCACATAGTTACTGTATTTAATAATATAGTTCCTATATATAATAATATA